TTGTTGTTGTTGTTCTTCTTCTTCTTCTTCTTCTTCTTCTTCTTCTTCTTCTTCTTCTTCTTCTTCTTCTTCTTCTTCTTTTTCTCATCCGTTTTTTAAGCTCCAAGGGACTCAACTCTTGGCTGCTTGCAATACTCCAAAACTTCTCAGAAAGACAGAGTTGCGAGCCTTTTCCCTTTGTATACATGTTTATTGAATCCTCCATTCTACCCCTCGAGTCCCCGACCCACTCAAGTGCACTGTGTTGCAAAAAAAAAAAAAAATCAATTGAATGATGGAAAACGAAAGCAAACAGACAAAAAGCCAAGAAAACGAAAGAAAGAAAGAAAAAAACAACAACTCCTTTGTTTCACCACTTGGTAAGCACAAGCTGGTGTCCCTTACTCATCCAACGCCAGTAGAGGGGAGTGGAACTCAAACCGCCAATGTCTGATGTGTAACTGTTAGGCTTTTCGCGTGGGTGGTTGGTGGGTAATCTGATGTGATTTGCTCGTAATTCTTTATATCAAACATCTATCGTTCTTAAGGGGTGGGGGTGGGGGGAGGGGAGAGGGGGGCTGCACCTGAAGGCTATCATCTCGCTTATTCGCGGACCAAATTTTACCATATTTCACACATATAATAAGCATGGTAAGGAGTCTGAAACTCTGCAATCAAATTTGGGAAAAAAGTTCCCGTCTCCATGGATACGGCTGCCATATTGGATTTTGTTGACATGTCTTACGTAATGAATCCCGCACATATTGTTTACGGAAATTGATTGATTTTTTTCATGCATGTTAGCAAACATTATATTTTGTTAGAACTACGCTACAACCACATTAACTCACCCCCCTCCCTGCCCTTCTAACATCCCCAGGTTTCAACATGACGGGATGGCTGGTATACCCCTATGACATAGCCCCACCGTTCGCCCCTTTAAAACTAATCATGGCCCCATTCTACCTCACCGCACCCCATCCCTTCTAATCTAACTAAAACAACTCTCATCATCATCATCATCATCCGGTGCCTTGCCGACTGGCGTGGGCGATCATGGACCTCCATTTCACTCTGTCCCGCGTTGCAGCAATGGTGTCTGTTGTTCTAGCTGCTGTACAACTACATTAACTCATGCAATCATGCGTCATCTCCCCCCCCCTTCCAGGTTTCAACATGACGGGATGGCTGGTGTACCCCTACGACATAGCGCCGCCGTACGCCCCACAAATCATGGCCATCGGGAACTCTTTCGCCTGCGTGCCGGGTATCCTTACACCCTACGTTGTGGCGGCTATCACCGTAGATGTAAGTTTTTATTTTTTTTAAGGTTAAGTGAGCCCAATCCTGAAAAATAGAAACATCTCAATGAACACCAAAATGAAAGTTCTGAAATGCTATGTTTGGTCAACTCTTCTATATGCTGGACAATCACTAAAGACAGTGAAAATAAAATAGAAGCAACCGAAAAGCGGTTTCCTAGGAGAGTGCTAAGAGTATCGTGGAAGGAAAATAAATCAAATGAGGTAGTGCTTGATGAAGCCCACGTGGGTCACTCAATGTTAAAAACAATCAGGGAACGACAAATGCAGTTTTAGGGACACATACATAGACACAAAGGTCTTGAACACCCAGCTCTCACTGGCAACATTGAGGGCAGGCGAGGCAGAGGAAGGCCCAGAACAACATACTTGGGGAACCTAAACAAATGGGTAACAGGGAAAGATCAGGGAAACGTAGCTTTTTTTAAAGCATCCGAGCAAAGGAATGAGTGGAGAACCATGATTGTCGATATCTGTCGCAGATCTGGCACTGGATGATGATGATGAAGATTAAGTAAGAGTTTTACGTCACTTCTAATATCATCATCTTCATCATCATCAAGTGCCAGATCTGTGGCAGACATCGGCGATCATGGATGGCTCTCCATTCATTCCCGTTGCTTGGATGCTCTTAAAAAGGATACGTTACTCTGATCTTTCCCAATTACCCATCTGTCTAGCTTCTCTAGGTAGTTCGCTCGGGGTGTACCCCTGCCTCTTTTGTCTTCAATTGCTTTTAATATATTATTAATTAGGTCATTAAAATTCCGAAGGAAATAATGTAGGCCCAAACCTAGGCGAAGACCCAAAACTCTATAGCTGCCTTCGCTCTAGGGACTGAGATGTCCATTTAGAAGAAGAAGAAGAAGAAGAAGAAGAAGAAGAAGAAGAAGAAGAAGAAGAAGAAGAAGAA